ACCACTTGGAGCCATACTAGGCGGCGGCACCATCCCGGGTGGGCGGTAGAACTACTTGAGGCTCAGCCTCCTAGGAGGTCTGGGTAGTGGTACCGTCCAGACTGGGTAGTGGTACCGTCGGTAGTTAATGTTGCTAGGCGGTAGTGCCATCAGAGCCTAGTCTCTGAGGCTTTGTCAAGCAATAGTACCAGCAGATTAGGTGGTGATACCACTTAGTGTCAATGCTATAGGCGGTAGTACCGCCAAGCATAGACGATGGTATCGCTAGTACCCGGTAACGCGGGATAAGACCTTTTTCTGCTCTATTTTTAAAGTTATTTGGGGTTTATAAATACCCCAGATATTTCTGCTTGGTAGAGTACAAAATTGTGTTAAAAAAGAGGGAAAGAATCTTTGTGAAAAAAGTTGTAAATCTCTCTTAGTATAGAGTCACCTCTTCCTAGTATTTAGAAGTTCTTCTAAAAGGAAAAATGAGGTCTAAGTGTAAAAAAGAGAAGTGTAAATGTTCTCTCCTAAACCTGTAAAAAGGAGAAAGAATTATAAGAGGGTAGTTGCTCTTCACCCATTGAAGGAAAACTATTAGTGAAAGCTGATGGCCTCGAGTGAATAGGAATCAGGAGTGGATATAGGTTACAATGACCGAACCACTATAAATCTGGTTTGCATTTCTGTTTTGCTTTTCATTCTCACATTATAACTTAATTTCTTTCTTTCAGTACACTTATGAACGAGTTTTCAAGTTAACATTTTTTCGATCGGTTTTCATCGAACGAGAATTTTTAAACCGGCATGATTTTATTATAAGCACTAATTCACCCCGCACCCATCCCCTCCCCCTAAGTGCCGACTTGGTCCTAACAAAAAGAATATTGGATCAGTTACCCCCCTAGTGTCGACTTGGTCCTAACAAAAAGAATATTGGATCAACTGAAAACAAATTGATGTGAAGATTGATGAAAAGATAAACCTTATTGCTTCTTACTTTGCTCATCAACTCCTGCTATTAGGAAATAGGATAAATTTGCTCATCAACTTCTTACTTATTGAGAAGGATATTGAATCTCTAAAATAAGTTGAAGAAGCTTTAGTGTCTCCTGCTATTAGGAAATAGGATAAATTTGGGAATATGAATGGTGAGACAATAGTTGGTAAGGGTGTATGTTGATAAGAAGGATTTTCTATCAAAGGTGAGTCTCACTGTGGTAGGTCTTTGAATGATGTTTAGTGTTATAAATGCAAAGTACTAACATATTAGTTGAAATTATCTACAGAAAAAGAAATAGGAAGAAGAGGTCTATAAATACTATATTGTGATAGAAATATCCTCACAATATTTCTTGAAGAATTGATGCATCTTTTTAGAAGAATTGTTTTTTAGATTTATTTTTGTTACTTATGTTTGTACTTAGAATGATTATTTTGATTTATTGAATGACAAGATGATTAGTAAGTTGAGTTTGCATGATGCATCTATGGTGGAGATCATGCACGTCGATAAGGGAAAAATCAAAATGTTTGTTACTTATGTTTGCACTCAGAATAATCAAAACGTTTGTTACTTATGTTTGCATTCTGAATAAGGTAAAAATTAAAATGTTTGTTACTTATGTTTATTACTTATGTTTACACTCAGAATATTCCTATAAATGCAAAGGTAATGATGCATCTTTCTAGAAGAATTACTTTTTAGATTTCTTTTTTGTTACTTATGTTAGCACTCAGAATGATTATTTTGATTCATTGAATGACAAAATGATTAGTAAGTTGAGTTTGCATGATGATTCCATGGTGGAGATCATGCGCTTTGTTTGCGATTCATTGAATGACAAAATGATTAGTAAGTTGAGTTAGGGATGATAGATACTTATAATAGCGAGCTTTGTTTGCGATTCATAAAATGAAAGATACTATTCATAGCTTTTAGAATGCAAATGATTATAGAAGAAAAAATCTTACTAGTAGTAACACAGTGAGATAGAGGTATCTCTCGAGAATCAAGTAATATCATTGATTTAATTTCAACTACATAAGATTGGGCTTATCACAATCAAATATTGGACCATGAACCAATTTAGTTTGTTTAGCTATGGTGAATTCTTCAAGTCAATGATTCAATTTCTATAGGAGATAAAAAATACTCACTAAGGTGAAGATTGTTAGGATTGAGAGAGTTCTAATTAAATTAAAATTCCTTATGAATTATGATTTATTTTGATAGATACATATTGAGTTTCAAGGTTTTGGTTTGAAGAAGAGATATTGATTATTTTTATAAATACATATTGATTTATTTCTTAAGTCGATTTTTTAATATATTTTTATTATTAATCTATATGATTTATTTTAATTTTAAAAATCTCCTCTCCTCTCCCACTCCAACAGATCCAATCAATCTAAATAAAGGTCAGAGGCAGTTAATTTGATGCTTCTGAGATCACTAAATTGGAGGGCAGATGCGTGTTCAAGTAAATGGACCGGCCAACGCATCCACCATGGATAAAGGGCCATCCGGTTCTTCGCTTTACGCGAGAGAGAGACGTAAAGAGAGAGAGAGAGAGTATATGCATACTGCAAGTTGCAAAAGAAAGCTTTCGATGAAGACCCCATGATAGATCACGAACAGGCTGCAACCATTCCAATCCATCTACTTTGAATAAACAATGATTAATCATCAGGTTAAGGTCAGACTGATGAAAGTTATGGGGATGGTATTTGGATGCGTGCAATGGATTGGAGGGGAGCACGACGAGAATGGCCACTGGGGTGCACATGGCGTCCCCACCACCCATCACAATGCATCATCGCCACACCGACCGCGGTAAGCCAACTTATTCCTATGGATTATTTAGCTCACGTATATGCACCCCTTCGTCAACCTTACGCCTTTGCCCTTCTCATCCTCTTTCCCAGCATCAAAATCAACTAATGAGAAGCAACAACATGAACATGGACTTGCTATGGTTCCTGTCAGAAGAGGTGGTAGAGTTGAAGTCAGGTCAAAACGTAAGCTTGGGCCACAGTCCTGAGCTGCTGCTGCTGCTGCTCATGTGCAGTTTACATCAAGTACTCAGCCAATCTTAATGTAGTTGACCTTTAGCATGTGATGTTCGAGAGGGAATCTTATGGGGTGCATGATTAAAATGGTCTCGGTAGAATAAAGTTACCGAATGCTTCGTGGAGTTGTCCTCGAGTCTCGCCACCGGCATTGTAGTTTGTGACAATGGGTAGTGACACCCCACGCTGGCTCAGTTTGGGTGTACGCAAGAAACAGAGAACAAAACTGATACAACGACAAGGCGCGCGTGAGGAGGACAGCATCTCTCGACAGTCGGTAATTAACTAATGCCTATTGCCCTTTTTCTATATGCTTTGGCATCCATTACTTGTTAACGATTACTTTAAGCATCCCAACTGCTGCCAGATCTGAAGCTCCTTATTTTTATAGCTCAGCTACTGTCCAATATTTACATATCAGAAGCTGGAAGCCAAAACCCTAAAGCTTCAACAACACAATCTCCACAATAATTAACCCTATCATGTTACGATGTTCTCCAGTTGTTGGAAGCATCATTGACAGTAGCATAATAATTCATTTGCCTAACCCATATATGCTCGGTGCCTCGATCATGGACGCAGATAACTCTTCCTCTCCCAATTAGTACACAAACAGATAATTCAAGACTCATGCAGAAAGAAGAGGTTCGATATACATGACGTGCCCATGTTTCGGTCAACGGAATTGTCTGACTGAGGCGTTGCTAATTAAGCTTCATCCATCACATTTTACGTGTCTGACAGACGTGTAGATAGAAATCGTCCGTCTGACCCGCCGACGGCAACTGAGCGGCCTGCCCGCTTGGTTTGGTCAAACCGAAGTGTAGGTAGGTCCTCCGGCCATTTTATTCATGGACTTGTTCAGTAATATAAAATAGAATTGGATTAGAAGAAGCCAGGCAATTCTGAGTGTGATTTAACAGGAGGCTTCTTCTTGTCTCCTGGGTCTGTAAGCAAATGTTGTCTTCATTGTTCGACTTGCTCCTGGTCGCCTCTTTCCATCATTGCCTCTACAACCGTGAATCTTGGCAGAAAAAATTGTGAACATCAAGAAACACTTGCGCATCTCCACCTTCATGAGTCTTTTGTCGTATGTCAGTCGAGTTAGGGTTGTGTACTTGATGACGATCTGGCGATCAGCCTTGCATCATTCTATCCTTTCGTTGTGTAAAGTGTGTGACTACACCGCAACCATTCTATCCTTTCGTTTGGGAGAGAAGTCTACCTATAAGTTATTTTGTTGTTGGATAAGGGTTACCGCTGGAAACGAAGGGCTAGGAGCGAAATGGTGTGTGAAAGTTCTTTACCATCAATCATTCCATTGGAGGAGTACAGATCCTCCTCTATCTTGGAGAGGCTCTTGCATTATTTGCAGTAGGCAAGGATGAAGAACATGTTCTACCGAAGTCATTGAAAGCGATAAAATGAATTGAGAAACAAAAAAGGTATCTAATCACTAATTAAATGAGTATGCACTTTTTTTTTCCTTGCTTAACAAGTAAACCCTTAAATGGATGCCACAGCATTCCTTGGAGGACAAGGTTGTTCATATGATTGTTCCTGAAGAGCCACCTGAACCCACCAAAGATATCACAGTATATGTGTGTGTATATATATATATATATATATATATATATATATATATATACATATATGTATATATATATATAACACATGACAGAGGTAGTAGTATTTATAAGAAAGAACAATGTAATAACATCACTGCAGTTATTAGAAATAGCAGCTCCAAAGTCCAAATGGTGTGTAGTTTTGTTCAATATGATACAAAAGGCTGCACTCGTGAAATAAAAGTTTGGCTTTCTGCATGCTTCCAATGCATCCTATATCTACAGTACAATGGCCACACACACACACTCTCTCTCTCTCTCTAAATGGCCAATGCATCTGCTTTTAATATATTAATTTTTACGTATGCACACTTCTCATTGACATCTGTGTCTCTTATCAGAGTTCCCCTACACCCATCCAGATCTCACTCAGACCGGCTCATCTTTCTGGTCAAAGGATAGTAAAAGGAGATCCTACCGCTTGCCCCAACATTTCCTAAAGATATCACAAAAGCAGCAGTCTGCTCTGCCTCTCGGTCTTTCCACAGAAGGTCGATGTTCTTCCTTCCGCCCTTCTGCTGAAGAGGAGTTGTTATACGGCAAGAAAATGGTTCCCTGGACAACAGTTCTTGAGAAGATCTAATTGACTTCCTCGATTGGTATTGGGTTGTGATCGGTGGAAGGTGGTGGTGGTGTAGGATTCAACTCTCAGGTCAGTATATATTCTGATGAAAATAGCACCAAAACCTGCTGCTTTGGGTTCTCAAGCTTCTTCTCGTTTTGAGTTGCTTCTCATGTGCTTCTTATATGTAGATGGAACCAAATCATTCTTTCTTGGTTCTTTGGATAATTCCACACAAGAAGAGGTTCTAAACTTTCCAGAGAGGAGAAGGGAAGAAAAGAAGCTGGCAAACAAGTGGTGGGAGAGAGCAGATGCGGCGGCAATGGCCGGAATGGAGCCCGGCGGCGGCAGCGGAGGCTCTTCTCGCTACCTCCATCACCTTCTCGGCCCACCGCAACAGCCTGCTGCGCCATCGACCCACATCCCACCCGAGGAATCCAAGCCTTCCTCGGAAGAAAGCCCAAATCTTTCGGCGGACCTGGGTGAAGGCGACGGCGATCAACCCTCCACCTCCGCAGCGGTGGGAGGCCCCGTCCGACGCCCCCGCGGCCGGCCCCCGGGCTCCAAAAACAAGCCAAAGCCGCCTATTATCGTCACGCGCGACAGCCCCAACTCCCTCCACTCCCACGTGCTCGAGGTGGTCGGCGGCTCCGACGTAGTCGAGTGCGTCACTGACTACGCCCGGCGGCGCGGCCGTGGTGTCTCCGTCCTCAGCGGCTCCGGCGCTGTCGTCAACGTCGCAATCCGCCAGCCCGGGGCGCTGCCGCCGGGAAGCGTGGTTGCGACTCTCAGGGGTAGGTTCGAGATCCTCTCGCTGACGGGGACCGTCCTCCCGCCGCCAGCGCCACCTGGCGCCGGGGGCTTGACCATATTTCTCTCTGGAGGGCAAGGGCAGGTAATCGGGGGCAGTGTCGTTGGCCCTCTGGTGGCGGCGGGCCCGGTGGTGCTGATGGCGGCATCGTTTGCAAATGCCATGTACGAGCGGTTGCCGTTAGAAATCGAGGAGGAAGTGGCAGCGGCGGTCGAGGGGCAGCAACCAGTGGTTTCGCAGTCGTCAGGTGTTACCGTCAGTGGCGGTGAAGGAGGTGGCGGTGGAGTCGGTGCCGGCGGCGTTCCTTTCTACACTTTGGGTGGGGGAAACATGGGGAATTATCAGCTTCCGGGTGATCCATATGGGTGGGGTGGTGGTGTTCGTCCACCGTTTTGATTCCACAAGGAGTCTACTACTACTGCTAATTGATGTCCGTTATATACACACTACCATCAAAGAAGAAGAAGAAGAAGATTAAATGGGGTTCATACTTTTTCTTTCCGATCATTTTGGGTGTGGATTCGAAGATGGTTTCTTTGAACCACTTTTCTGATTCCGTTGGTGATGATCGTGTCATCGGAGGCATGTTCTTATATGGAACAAAGGAAAGAGTTGGGAGAGAGAGGAGCAGAAGGGACTGCTTGAAGAATGCTTCCCGAACTAAGTAGCTTCAGTTTGCATGTAATAACACAAGTGAGTACCGGCAGTCATTTACATTTTTTTTGTTTTCTTTCTGTCATTTGATGTCATTCTCTGTGTTGTGGACATTGTTCTTCTGTTGCATGCTCGTAGGGTCTCCCTGTTGTACCACAGCCATGCTCCTCCTATTTAGACAGTTCCTATGTAGACCATTCAAACCATTCTTAACTGATATCATCCGCAGGACGTTTGGTGCTTTCATTTCTTTTGGTTTGTGTTCCAACGTTTGGATGTGGGTTAGTGAGTGAGGTTTGTGCATGCAAGCTTGCTTTTGGCCACAGCCACCTGCAGAAAGCCTAGTCTTGATGGGGATGGGTGTGGTCTGTCAAATTAGGAGGCAGTGTTAAATCCGAGAAGGGGTGTACAAGTTCTGTTGCCATTTATAGGGCATGGAAGGCGAACTGAGCATAAGATGTTCAACAGCATGCTGCGAGATTCTCATGTCTGCTTTCATCTTTTTCCAAGTACAATTCTAGAAAGAAGGTTTCTACCCCCGTCATAAAAGTAAGCCCCACTTTCCCACCTACTTTAAAAGCATGATATTTGTGGCTTCCAAATGTTATCTTCTTTGAATCTTATTTACTCCCTCTCTCTCTCTCTCTCTCTCATTTAGGTGGGTGTTAAAGCTGAGGAGCTCCAGCTTTAATGGTGATACAAAAGAGTACAACTAAAACCCATTCTCACTAATAAATTTTTGCTATCTATCTTCTAAAAACTTGAAAACTGAACTAAGGTTTTATATACAGCATGTACGCGAATTTGCAAGTCACATTGAGTCATCCTCAGTTTCATGGAGACTTAATTAAATCTCTCCATCATAACAAAGTTTGATGTTGTTGTCATAATAGATTTACAAGTCACAATCTCACATCATATGCCCATTTATTAACGTTTCGAGGTTACCCAATTACATCATTGCTATTTGTTGCTCCTAAACAAAGAGATGCTTTTAACGGTATGTCTTGAACTGTGCTATATCCATAATAACCCGACTTGTTGGGTTCCTCCACATTATATACCCACTTTTTTAGTACCTTCAACCGACCTGTGGATGTGAATCATCAATATGTTCGATCTCTATACTGTTGGGCTGACAACCCATATGTTCAGTCTTAGGTTTTATTAGCCCACAGCCCATCCTCTTTGATCTAACTCTAAATCAAAAGTTATGGGGTGCGGGGGTTACGTTTTTTAAGACAAAAAAAGGGCAACAATGAGGTAGAAAACTGCAACAACAAGGGGAGATCTTTGCAGCAGCATCTTGATTCAAAAAAGACAAGAAAAAGGTAGAAAACAAGAGAAAGAAAAGAAAGAAAATAATGACAACGCAAAGAGGCTATTCACAATCATCTAGGCAATATTCTCATTTCAGGTTAGATCAAATCTATAGTAGATTCTTACTGTGATTACTTAGGGAGAATTTAGATATTGTGTATAGTGACATGATCCTTGTATCCTAGTTATTCTCTTGTGATTGTTACTAGGGTTTTGGGCAAGAGATTGAGATTTGTATATTCATTATTCTTATAGTGGATTATCTCTAGTTTGCCCCATGGTTTTTACCCTTCACATTGGAGGGATTTTTCACATATATTTACGTGTTTTATTTGATTGTGATTCCATTTAATTCCGCTGCGTATTATGACCTTCTAATATTTGTTCATATACAAAAGTTTAGTTTCACTTTATATCCCATCACATATAAGAAACTAATGGAGGTTGACATGCAATTTTCTTCAACTTACTAGTAATGATTAGTTGACATGCAATTACGTCTCTACCGAAATATAAAATTTCTAGAAACCTAATATTGGAGGTCTTGATTTTGAGATTCGAGGATTGAGCTCAAGGGTTTTTGAATCCTAAGAGCTTATGGTTTTAACTAAAACTGGTAGTAGCTAAGATTTCCCTTGATAACATGTTAAGAGTGAAATGAAGAATATGTTAATTTTGTATTTGATATGGTGCTTCCTATTTATACACATTAGAATGGAGGATTTTCCTTAATAGAACTACGATATTTCCTCATGTAGTTAGGGAAATCTTAGTTGCTATCAAAAACCGATAGTTTTTTTTTTGTCAAAGAATAATTTTAATTCATATTTTAAATGTCTTACGATGCTTCTTATGCAATAAATCATATATAATGAGGGAAGCCCTGAAGAAATAGATACTCTCAATCTTTGAAATGTTATGTCATCCGAAAAATAAGGGAAGCCAAGGTAATCGATTTAAAAGGTCAAAATCGTGTAATGATGAATAGTCATTGTAAGGACCATTATATTAGGAGTATATTAGGGGGTCTCGATCATCAAGCAATTGAAGTAAAGATAAAGATAAGCTTAACAAACTTAAGAAGGGTTGCAACTGAGCAAACAAGGGATCGTAAAAACCTCATAAAGGGCAATGTGTATGCCAATGTATAATGAGGAGCTATCGATAACAACTCTTGTATAAGATATACCACGAGAATAAATGAGTTAGAAAGAATATATCAAGTGTATAAAAAGATTGGGATGATTAAGCTTGAGCTATAACTCAATGTCATCAACTAAACTTGCTAGAGCTCTATGCATATAAGAACACATAGTGAGGAAATTAAGTAGGAAGGGATGCTGAGAAATAAATTAAAAATAATTTTATATACTTTGTGTTAGGAAAAAATCATAAAATAATATATTAAAAATATGTTTCGTGATCCAATAAATAATATAAGGTATAGAGAGCATATAAACATGAATGATAGAATCAGCTTTCCTCTAAACCTCTCGTTTCTCATCTTTCATCTATTTTGGTGTAGATTACAGGCATCTCCGGAGAGTCCTCCAGGTTTAAACATTGTTTCTGTAGCCTTGGGGAGAGGATTTTACCCTCTTAAGACCAACACTGGCAAGACCTTATGCACTGGACTTTTTGTTCTCTTTGTTTCTTTTTGGTTGCTTATCATCACTGTCTCTCTAAGAGTTGTTTTCTTGGAAGGTAACCTAAGTCTTTCCTATTGCGGACAGACATCATTCTAACACTTGCGACGACGGCTGGGTTTAGGCGCATAAGCAGGTTTTGTAGTACCATCCGCCAATTATTAGAGTCATCAGTGCGAACACGGTGGAGTGGATAAGCAAAATATATCTGTCATTCCTAAACTTGGAAATGTCTCTTTGGTGGCATCCACTGTAGCATTAATGGACGAGCAACAGGTTGTCCAAATCAAGTTGGTAGTCAGTCGGTGAGAAAAATATCATTGTTCGAATTGTTGCATTCTTTTCTCAATCTTTTTTTGTGTCAGGAAAGAACAACATTTTGTTAAATTTGTAAACATTTTTAAATTTCTAGAACCAATTTTTTTTTTAAGATAAAGATATTTTTTTTATCCCAAGTATTTGTGGAGGACATATTCCAACTCCTTTTAAAGAATGGAACCTTCAGATCTAATTATTATATGAATATGTCATATATAGTGAAAAGAGAATATGATAAAATGAGTTTGTTCGATCGAGGTGCAAGCATCGGACCCTCCTTCTAATGCCGATCTAATAAACGATCATTTGGTCGATCGATCATTGATATAATCCATAGGCTCGCCTCCGAGTAAGGGATATCTGACGAACTTACGAGCCCTTCATTACCATACTCCTCAACTAATGTTAAACTAAATAGTCATATCATATATAATATCTTTTATCGATTTTTTTAAGTTTAAATTTAGTATTAATATATGAGTTTTTTTATTTTTTAAAATCTCTTCACTTTTTATTATTATTGCTACAAGAATAATAATGTTGTCTTGTCACAGTTTTAATTTAGGCCTTATCACAGTTTGTCTACTATCGCTCTACAAGAAGGAACTCAGTTTGTACACTTTAGAACTCGGATTACTGGAGTTGCAGAATAATGGAAGAAAAACCATAGAAGCATACGAAATGCTGATAGCAGCCAACCCCCTACTTCAGTAGATAACCAAAACAAAGCGTATACGATCCTTGGAATGCACCGTTTCCACTTGTAAATCTTCATGCACGAGTTGTTGACTCACCGAGCGATCACCCATTGTCAGTCTTTGTTCTCTTTATGAACTCCAAGCAATCTGCTATCGCCTCGGCGTAGAACGAGTTGGATCTGCGCCACGAACGGTGCTGCTGCTGCTGCTGCTGCTTGAATTCCCGGTCGCCACCTTCCTTCGAGCCTTTCTTCAGCGCTTGCAGGCATCGATGGAAGAAGCTGAAGAGCCTCACACGCAGTCGGCGGACCAACAGCTTGCGACCTTCGATTCGGTAGCATCTTCTCCGGCCTGTCCTGACGTGCTTCTGCTGTGCCATTTGATGCTGAGAGATTTGAGTGTCTCATGGAGTGCTATTTATATTAGAGTCGGCGAGGAAACATCCTCGCAAGGATTTTTGTCTTCATCGTTCCAAATCTTGTTTAGCTACCGACCACTCGTGTACTTGAAAGTTGTGGGTGTATGCCGATTATATGCAATATGAGATAGATTATGAAGAACCGAAGGACTTTATTGGTGCAATGATGCTAGTGGTGGTAATTTAATCTGATTGTGATTCCTATGTATCATGAAATGAAGCAAGAGTGCGTGTAGCTGGTGGGTGGGGTGTCCCCCAAGAGCGAGAAAGAGCAACTCAGTGAGTGTCGAGCCAGCTTGGATTGTCCTCCATCTGCAACATCGACTCCCCGTACACACGGGGAAGCTTACGTTGTTACAACCCAATTGAGTTGGTGGTCTCAGGAGGAGGCTATACAGATAGTAGTACACTTTTTGGTTGTCATAATCATAGTCGCGGTCCCAATTTCCACGCCGCGCGCGGCAAATGTTTCAGCACATGACGCGTCTTCTTGCGGAGTTGGTTTACGTCGATGATCGGAGGAACAGCCGTGACCCACCCACCCACGACGATAATAATAATAATAATAATAATAATAATAATAATAATAATTATTATTATTATTATTATTATTATTATTATTATTATTATTATTATTATTATTATTATTATTTTTCTATTCCATCGTCCTTGTCTTGCATAGCCTCTAAGGATGAGTTCCACGTCGTTGACTTTGTTCCATTCTATTTTATGGCTGCTTCTAAGGAGGTAATTGCTAAGAAAAAGGACAGAGAAAGAAACTAGTTATTTGCATTAACATATCCCTCTGGAGGGAGGATTTTCTTCAATAGATTAGAGGATTTTCCT